AGAAGGTTTAAAACTAATAAGCGAAAGTTCTTCTTCACACAGCACATGGTCAACCTGTGGAACTCCGTGCCACAGGAGGCTGTGAAGGATAGAACTATAACAGAGTTTAAAGAGAAGTTAGATAAATTCATGGAGGTTGGGTCCATGGAGTGCTATTAGCCAGGGGGTAGGAACGGTATCCCTGGCCTCTGTTTGTGGAAGTCTGGAGATGGATGGCATGAGACAAATTGGTTGGTCATTGTCTTCGGTCCATCCCCTCCAGAGTACCTGGTGCTGGCCGCTGTTGGCAGACAGGCTACTGAGCTAGATAGACTTTTGGTCTGACCCAGTATGTCCATTCTTATGTTCTTATGTTCTAAGCTCAGGGCTCAAGGTTGGGGATCTCACTGGACCAACTTGATTTTCATGCAAACCTGCTCCTGGGTTCGCATGTGGCCTTTGGTGGCCAGTCTGGTAGCTATCCTGCCCTAGACGGCCGCATTCCTGTGCCTAGTGCAGAGGTCGTGGATGTTGGAGGCCTCCCCCCAAACCTCGATGAGGTCCACGATATCCACACTAGACCAGGTGGGCGCCCGCCTCTTGCGGCCCTGGGCAGGCTCCTGGGAGCCGCCAGCCTGGTCCCGGGAAGAGGCGGAGAGCTGGATGGCAGCTGGATGGCTCATGTCGTGCCAGATGCAGGGTCTGCTGGCTGTGTGCTGGCAGGCTTGCAACTGGCACAAGCACTGTAGCCAGACCGTGGCCCTTTAAGGGCTCCGGGGCCGGGAGGGGGGCAGAAGAGTTTCCCTGGTTTGGCCCAGATTGGCCACCAGGGCAACCTGGAAAGAGTTAACTTCCAACTAGTTCGAATTAAGTGGCTACACAGCCCTTAATTCGAACTACTTAATTCGAACTAGGCATTAGTCCTTGTAGAATGAGGTTTACCTAGTTCGAATTAAGTGCTCCGCTAGTTCGATTTAAATTCAAACTAGCGGTTTGTATGTATAGCCGCTATTAAAGTTAATTCAGACTAACGACTGTAGTGTAGACATACCCATAAGGGTTTGGTTGTGCCAGGAAAATGGTATGGGCTCGCTTCTCAAAGTCATACAGAAAAGAGACAGAAATTACTAGGCAGGTGAAAGGGGCTGGTTGAGCATTCCCCCTTCCCCATCCGAGACTACCCCAGCCCTGCACCTTCCACCACACAGGCAACCTTGGGAGAGGGATGAAGCTCCCCCACCCCCCAGATTCATATGGGTACATTGTTGAGTGTTCTCCTTTGTCAGGAAATGAAGGGAAAATGCATAATTTGCTGCATTCCTGAGGCAAATTACTGGATGGGGAGATCAGGGGACTGATAAGCTGTGTACTTTGCTCTTGCTCCCTGACAGGGACAGGAGGGGGAAAAAGGAAGCAGCTCTGATATGTCTTAGGGAGGTGTGCATACATGCGCACGCACACCCACACCCACCCACAGACACACACACACCCTCTGCCCAGCCCCCCTGAACCTCCATGCACCCTGCCCTCAACCCCGCCTCACCCACTCGACTCTGACTCCTGCGTCCTCCACACCACTAGCCCACTGCCATGAGCTCCCCTTAAGGACCCAAGAAGCACCAGATAAATGTGCTAATGATAAAATATTGAAGATTTACCATTTAATGGTAAGATAGCCAAGAAATGTATTACATTTATTGTTAAACAATTTGTTCTGGATAAAAAAAACCATAATATTTGGAATTGACCCAATTATTTGTCTTTATTTTTCTTTTTGAAAGGTGTAAGAGGCTTAATCTGCAGTCTTTAGCTTACCTTTGGCGTCGAAACCAAGAAGTTTTGCTCAAAGAAATGATATCGTCTCACATTCAAGCTATTATCATAAAAGTAGCAGCCTTTGGTAGGTGTCCATATTATGTATTTTAACACTTTGATAAAGTTAATTTGTTAATGAGCAATTGCAAAAGCATAATAAAGAAAAAGAAAACAAAAATTCTGATTTGTAAATTCAGGTGAAAAATAGAAACATGAACAGGTGAAGAAGGATAGATTTAAAAATGAATATTGTCAAAATATGACAAAACATCTGAACAATTAATGGAATTCTAGATAATACATAATATACACAATGCATTTTTATAGTTTAGTCATTAAATTTCTTCATTGATTTTTTTTCTCCCCAGGAAATATACATATATAATACAATGGTTCATAGTATTTTCATTCAGAGGTAATACAAATTTGTGGTTAGAGATAGGTTCAGAATTATAAAAATCAGAAAAAGATTTAACAAAGATTTAAAAAATGAACATCCAGCATCATGTAATTATATTGAGACTTAAAGAATTTGTATAACAGCAGTCTTTACATTTGTGAAGCACATATAGAGTATTCTTGCTGATATTTTTAAAGAATGATAGTTATAATTTAATTGTTTGAATAAATCAGAGCTCAAAATCAACATATTCCTTGACTTTCATTGGCAACGGTGTAAAGTGTGACTTTTTTATTGAACAAGCCATTACAAAAGATGACCTGAATGTTTGCAAAGACAAAAGATGTACCCAAGTGGACCATTAAAGAAAGCTTTATTGAGTTGCACATGTTCTGTAACCATACAGAAGCAGATGAGAATCTTATTAATGGCACAATATGTCATTTCCAAATTACAGGTCTCTAAGCAGTTTTTCATGTAAAGGTATCAGATGAGGATTTAAGAATAAAAGTGACAAAAACTCCTTTTTTTAGGGTCACTAGGGTTTTGTGGGTCATTAGACCAAAGAATGTCTAGTATAATAGAAAAAGAGTAAGCTCTGCAAGGATAGATAAAAATACGTCTGATAAATTGTGTCGTATAACTTTGGTGTGTGACAGGACTTACATTCAGCATATATGTGACACATTCACGTTAAGTGTCTAATGCCTTTTTCTACTTCTTTAAATACCATTTTCTTAAAAAGGAGGTAATATTATGGTGTAATATTTTTCAAGAATAATAGAGAGTAACATTAGTTGTTTTTCATAGACTGACATAATCAGTTTAAAAGAAACCATTTCTTTCTTTCTTTCTTTCTTTCTTTCTTTCTTTCTTTCTTTCTTTCTTTCTTTCTTTCTTTCTTTCTTTCTTTCTTTCTTTCTTTCTTTCTTTCTTTCTTTCTTTCTTAACACTTTAGTTTTACAGCACTTCAGGATGGTCTCCTTTCACTATTCTTAGCGGATTCTTCAATGCTGTTAGCATTATTAAAATATCTAGTAACTCTTTCATTCACTCTTAGTTTACATGAGATGTTCTGATTTTTAATAGTGTATGCTCATCTGGTGGGATTGGTTATAATATATAGAAAATAACTGCCTCACTTCCTCCTGCCAGCACCTCTCTTTAAATAAAGAAAAAAGCCCCAAATCTTTTATTTTAAAGAAAGAAAATTTCCAGCTCATGTACACTAGACCAGAAATGGAACATTCCTTATATTTTTACAGCACTTAATCTCAGTGTAAGACATAAGAATAAGATTAATTAGCACGACTTTTCAGAACTAAGTAATTATATGTCACCAACTGAACTTTGTTTCACTTGCTTTGTTCATAAACAGCTCTCTGGAATTATATGACAGTTCAGTACTTCTTGCAAAGAGTTTAGAACCAAACTAATTTTTAGTTTAAAAAACCAAAATCCATTAAAAAAGTGATAAGACCTGAGTTATTCAGAAAGTGACTTCCGGGGTGACATCGTTGGTGACCTGTATCATCCTTGAAGCAAGATAAACTTGTCCTTTGTAGCTCAAGTGCTTTTAAAAGTTAAAATTGACTGGTTAGTGCACAAAAGAATGCTTTGTGCAGTGTTCATTTAAAGAGTAAATGCCGTAAATAGTTGTAGATAGTAATTAGATGGAAAATCACTGCTGCCTTTTTTTTAAGGTAAAAAGAAAGATCTTATCAGACTCAATTTCTCACCTGCCTCAGGCAGTCATAATTAGATATAAGCAAATTTAATGGAGCTTATGTGCTCTGGAGCCATTCTACAGTGCTTTAATAATTGCATGCTTTATTAAAGTAAATTTAAGGCATGAAAACTGTTTAACATATCAGGTGGCAAAGAAGCTAAAGATACAGGTTACCTACTTGCCTTTTAGTTTAATAATCAAAGGCGTTTTAAAGCCAGATTGCTCTGACTATATTTAAAATAACAGATTTAAAAGTCTGAGAGTTGATGCATTAGATGGTATACTGTACAGATGCTAAAACAACAAGCAAGTCAGGTAACTTGAGCTTGACGTTCATCAGCATTGGCATGCCCACACACCCTCTCATCTTATGTTTTCCATTAACTTAGTGCTAATATTGGAAAGGTAAAAGACTGTAGGCTTATATAGATAACACATAATTATACAAGTAAATGAGCATTAGTTTAGTACGTTTCCTTAAATCTGCTTTTACAATAGTTAGCCTTGCCGGCAGCAAGAGTTTTCCATCTTGGAATAGTGCTCTGCTCCAAATGATGACAGACCAAGTCACTTGGTCTTTCACTTATGTGCAACAGGAACACTGTAACCAGCACTGTACATAATGTATCTTCATGTCACTTCTGTTATTTTTTAGTCAGTTTCACTTTGTCCCAAGGCCAAAATTTAAAGTGAGTATATTTCAAAAGTTCCAATAAGAGATGAACAGGAACCGAAGAAAGTAGTTCAAACATATGTATATCTAGCACTTCCTTGATGTTTCCCAGAGCTGCCAATAAACTATAACTGTGTGATGAACTTTTTCGTACAGTATTTCCACTTGAACTGAATCTGGCAATTTAAAATAATACAAGGTAGTCTGTATTAGCTGAAAAATACCTGGTAATAGCTGCCTATAGGCACCTTTACTGTAAAATCCTGTTATATCAATTATCCAAAGGAAGGTGGTGGAACAGAGCATAATAAAGTGTCAACGTAATTATGAAGGGCCTCTTTTTGATGCCGTCACTCACACTAGACTAAAGTTAGGTGATTTGTGGATTAAATTGCAGTTCAGCTTCAGTAACTATGTTCGAATCTGTAACTCAATGAGTCCCTATCTCTGCATAGAATATGATTTCTCAAGTTAACTTAATATCCCATTCGCAATAGATCCTAAACCAGATTAGTTATGCTAACACATTGGCAGCATATTACATGTGCCTGTGATAGTTTATGTCTACTGCAGACCAGTAGTGAGAGTATATCTCTGGATATTCCCCCTGGTTCCCAATAGGATCTATGATGGTTTCTGATCATCTAAGGATAATGTGAAGAAAGCATTTATATTTAGTCTGCTTTCAGACCACTGTGGTAAACTAGTTTATATGACCTGAGTAAAAAAATTATTTGTAAGCCATGACTACTATGATATATTAAATAACTGAATTCTAAATTTGAGTTTTGTCTATATAATTTGAATTATTCTAATGTCTTATTTACAATTAAATTGACTTAAGTTCAGAGTGGTTAGCTTTTTTCAATATTTTAACAACACTCTCTTAAAGTCTATTCATCTTCAGTACATTTTGTTAAGAACTAATACAGATTGTTTGCTTGAGGAACAACTTGTCTTATTCAATATTTTAATCAAAAAAATTGTAAAGCCAAAATTTCCAGCTTTTATGGAATTAATAAGTGTTGCTTCATGTACTGTATATGTTGCAGTTCCTTCCTGTTATCTTACAGTATAATAATTACCCATTGTAAGATTAAACCTTTGAATAATAAATTGTAATCATTACATCAAATAAAAGAAGCATTCAAGTACGAAGGCAATTCTCTCTGCTTCCCATAGTAAATATTTCTATACCTAGCCCTTTCATTAGCCCATATAAAAGAAAATATATTGTAACTCTCTTCATTTGTGTGGGAATAATGGAAACAGAGAATATTGATTATTGATTTCCAATTAAGTATTGCATGAACGGCAATCCTGGCTTCATTGAAGTCAATGGCAAAACTCGCACTGACTGCAGAGAAGCTAGGATTTTTACCCCAGTAGAGAAAAAAACATTCAGGACCCAATAGTGCCCACTGAGGTACAGAAGTGGAAGCTTCAGCCTCTTAACACTGTTTTTGAAAATCTGTCCTTGTTCTGTTAAATGGGAATGGGTCTTCTTTTAAAACCAGGCTACAGTTTTCATTTGTGAGAAGTTTTGAAATCTGGATTGAGGAGAGGGGTTTCATACTAGGTAGGAACACAGAGGAAAACAGTCTCTTCCACTAAAAAGTGACTGGTTTATTATACAGGCAATTTAAACACGACTTGACAAATGAGCGTTAACAAATAAAAGGAAAGGGGGGGGGAGAAGGGGAAAAGATAAGGAATCAATGTAAGATTCCCTAAATTGCACTATAAATGCAAGTGCCTTTTCACATTATATTAAAACTAAAGAACAGGATAGTCTTTCGTAGACAGTTAAGCTTGTTTTAAGTTGTTTTTCCATTTTTTTCTCTGGTTGTTGCTGGATATTAGTGCTTTAATAGAGTTTCTGACAACATTTATAGCCTTTGCTTTCAATGTTGTTTATTTTTACTAATGGGGAAAAGATTGCTTTCATGTACCATAATTTTAAATAGAAGTTAAAATAGCAAATAATGTTCTTATCTGTCACCCAGTACAAAATTTTAATGATTTACTGTTCTCTTGGAAATAAGATAAGACATTCTCAAACATGGCCTTTAAACACCTATTACAAAGATCCTCCTTCAACAAAGTTAGCCTGTATGATTTCTTTGCACATAGTTCTGAAGGCTTGAAACTCATTTTATTATTGTATTCTTTGTACCATTGACACAATTGGTAAATGAAGGGGATGCCTGGCAGGAACTTTAGGAATGGCTGTTATGTGCCTTCTTTTCTTTTTCCTCCTTAAAAATCTTGATTGTTTTTGAT